CAACAGCAGTGCCTCCCACTTTGGGCACTAACATCTGTTGTTGGTCTTTTACTCCATGAGCTTCACCTGTTCCTGCCTTACTCAGAGCATGGAGGTCAGTATATGATTTCTGTGCAATAGTACGCCATGGCAAAGTTCTACAGCTCTTAGTCAATGGATTGCTTTCATCCTAGCATTTGTTTTACACTACAACACAAAAACGTGACTATTTGTTTCGCATGCAAATATGTCAAATGCTTATTTCTAATCACTCATGCATATCTGACTATGGGCAATTAAATTAGAAAAATCCTTTGCACTCCCCCCACCCTGGCACCGGCAGGCTCGGCCGGTGGGGGCGAAGGAGCCCGCACCAGGGGCTTGGAGACCCAGCTCCCCGCTCCCCTCTGCCCCGACTTCCCAGCGGGCCCCGGGGCACAGCGCTCTGCTCCTTTGGCCTTGGGTTTCTAGCAGAAAAGTGATGGGGCTGGCCTTGGATTGCTAGGGGTCCTGTGTTCTTCGGATCCTGTTTGAGATGAGAGAAGTGGGCGATTCCTTCCAACTGTAACCCCCTGTCCCGCCACACTCCCCAGGCAGGCATCCTAACAGCCAGCCCTCCTCCTCCTGCCCCACTCACAACCATCTGTTCTCCCATCCTTCGGCTCATTCATTCACTGATTCATCCTCCCATCCATTCATTCATCCTCCCATTGAACCTCCCATCTCTTCATCCCAACTACTTTGACCTGTATGTGGATGGTGCCATTTGGGTCAGTTTTGCTGGGACCGGGCACGTCTGTCCCTGGCCCCCGCCCCCCCCTCCCCCCCCAGAAGTCAGAGGTGAAGGGAGGTGAGGGGAGGGTTGCAGTCACCTGGTCCAGCAGAGTAAAAGGAGACGGGCAACAAGATGTAGTTGGAGGCAAGAGTCCTGGAAAGTGGTTCTGGAGACCAAGGTTCCAGGCCCTATTCCCCTCTGACCTGCTGGGTGACCCTGGGCAAGCCCCTGGGATCCCAGCTGCCCTATCTGTGTGCTCAGTGTGCTGCGGGGAGCCCTTCTGCGACTAGGACCAAAGCTGGAGAGTATACAGTGATGGAGACCAGACACCTCTGTGCAACTGAAATAGAAGCAGCAGAGCCAGCCGTCCTCCCCCATCTATAGTAGCAGGTGACTATGCCAGGAATGTCAGTACAGATAAGGACTGAGGACTGGCAGAACCTGTTGGAAATGCAATGACTGGAGAAAAAGAAAACCTTTGCTTTTGTGTTTCTTTATTCCTCAAATCCACAGCATACCTGGGGCTGCCTGTCTCGGTGTTCTCTGAGCCCATTGTTCTCATAAAAACCAAATTATTCAACAAATACTCACCGAGGACCTACTACATGGTGGGTACTGGGAACACGTAGGTAGAAAAGGGAAGCAGTTCCTATCTGCATTGGCTAGCAGTCTAGAACAGCGCTGCCCAATAGAAATAGAGCATGAGTCACATGTGTACCTTAACATGTTTTCGCAGCCACATTAAAAATGTAGGAAGAAACAGATTGTTAATGATGTTTTAACCCAGTATAGCCCAAGTATTATTATTTCAACATGTAGTCAGTATTTTAAAATTATTAATGACACGTTTTACATCTTTTTATGGTAGGACGTCTTTAAAATTCAGTGTGTATTTTACACTTCAAGCACATCCCAGTTCAAACCAGGCACATGTCAGTTGCTTCACAGCCATATCTGTCTGCTAACTACAGACTGGACACCTCAGGTCTAGGAGGGTGTCCGAGCAAAATAAGCAAGGAGACAAATAAAGCTTTTACAAGTGGTCACAATTTTCTATGAAGGAAACAAAAGCGAAAAAGAACCTCTCTAAATAGGTGACATTAAAGTTGAGACCTGGCGTAGAAGAAGGACCCAGCTATTTAAAAATTAGAAAGAGGTGTGTGTGTGTTTGTGTGTGTGGGGGGAGAGTAGAGAGATTTCCAGCAGGAAAAAACAGCAAGGGGGGTGGGGGGGCAGCCAGCATTGCTCAGTGGTTGAGCATTGACCTTTGAGCCAGGAGGTCACGGTGGATTCCCAGTCAGGGCACATGCCAGGTTGTGGCCTCAATCACCAGTGGGGGAGGGGATGCAGGATGCAGCCCATCAATGATTTTCTCTCATCATTATTGTTTCTCCCTTCCTTTCTGAAATCAATTAAAAAATGTTTTTAAAAAGAACAGCATGGGCAAAGGCTCTGAGGTGGGAAAAGGTTGGCCTTTGGAAAGAGCCGGTGGAACTGGAGGGGAGGAAGCCAGAGGGAGGTGGTAAGAATTAGGCTGAGAGGAGAGAAGGGGGGAGTGTGCAGGATCATGTGTGGCCATAATTGAGGGTTTAGGGTTTTCTTTTTGGTATGATGGAAAGCCAATGGGAAGATGTAACTGGGGAAGCCATGTCACCTGGTTTACATCTTAAGTCCATCACTTTGGCTCCTCTCTGGAGTGTGGATTAGAGAGCAAAGCAGAGAGGCCAGGGAGGAGGTTACTGTGTCTGCTCGGGCAAGAGATGATGGTTTTCCCACCTTGAAAATCACCACCTGTGCCACAGAAGTGAAAGCAGGTTATTCATTCATTCAACAAGTACTTACCGGATGCTGGATTATAGGTGAAAAATTGTACCTAAGATGTGCTGATACCTGACTTGAGTTCCCAGAATGCCCTACCCATGGATGACATAAAGAACTGCTGCTAAGTGGGCCTGAAGACTAGTCCCTCACCATGGCCCTGGCCTTAGCAGCTCTGTGAACCTGGGCAGGCAACCCAATTCCCCCCGGCCTGTTTCCTCATCCATAAAGGCGAAATTATAACAGTCTTTTGAACTCCTACTTGGTTGTTGGGAAAATAATCAAGTCACCTGTACAAAAGAACTCTCTGTTGGGTTAAAAGATCTGGAAAAACAAACACCCAGATATACTTATTAGATTGAACACATTTAATAACTATTAACTGTTTATCTGTTGAAAGTGTTAAGTTGTTGCAAAGCCCAATTTGCTGTCAATAAGTCATGAAGTGACTGTTTTATAAAGCCAATAACAAAAAGATACTAAAATGCAGGCCTCATCTTATCATGTTCTTGCTAAGAACCCTTCAGTGGCACATGATGGTAGGAAAAATAATGGATCCCCAAAAATGTCCCTGCTCTAATTCCTAGAAACTGTGACTGTGTGATGTTACATGGGAAGGGAGAATTAAGGCTGCAGATGGAATTGAGGTTGCTAATCAACCGACCATGGGATGGAAAGGTTATCCTGGACTATTTGGGTGGGCCCAATGTAGTTACAAGGGTCCTTATAACTGAAAGGGGGAGGCAGGGGAGTAAGAGTCAGAGGGTATGCGATGAAAGGAGCAGAGGAATGGTATGATTGCTGGCTTTGAAGATAGAAGGGGCCATGAGCCAAGAAATGCAGGTGGAAAAGCAAGGAAACGGATTCTCTCCAAAGCCTTCAGAAGGAACCCAGCCCTGCCGCCACCTTAAGTTTAGTTTAGAGAGGCGCATTTCAGACTTCTGGCCTCAGCACTGTAAACTAATACATTTTTATTGTTTTAAGTCACCTTGTCTGTGGTAATTACAGCAGCAGTAGGAACTTAATACACTCACCAATACCCCTAGGAAAAAGTCCAACCTGCTTAGCATAGCACACACGGCCTTGTGGAATCTGGCTGATGTCACTGTGACCTTGAGCAAAGTTCTTAATTTCTATGGGCCTGTTTCCTCACCTGTAAAATGGGAAGGGAAAAATCCCTCTAGGTCTGTGATGAGATGAAATGAGAGGACACATTTAAGGTGCCTGCTGGAGACGCTGGCACAGCAGTATAATTATCATGGAGCAACTGACAGGGAGTTAGGAGGCCTGGGATCTATGCCCCTGTTAGGGCTCTGTTTCCACATCTGTAGAAACGGAGACGAACACACACAGGTTTAGCATCTTCATCTCTCCCCTCTTCTCTACTCTTTCCTGGCCATTGATCTGCTTTTCCTTCCTCAAACAGGCTTCACTCCTGTGACTTCTGATTTTGCACAGGCTAGTCCCTCTGCCTGGAATGCTCTTCCCGTTCCTTCACCAGGCTAACTTCCATTCC